GTCACAAAAAGCTGTCTCTATTGAATTAGCAAAAAGCACCCAATCGATTATTTTATCAGACGACATCGAGGTAAGACACGAATTGGACGCGAAACACGAGCTGTCAAGACGGCTCACGAAATGCTCCATCAATATTTATGCATGCTCATATCCACATCATAATCATTCACGTCAATATCATTATTATTATCATCGTGATCGCTACTTTAATTAACGTCGTTACTATCACAATTCCTCGCATCAATTATCACGCAAAAGGCGTTTTAATAAATTTACGATCACATGAATGTGGTAGAAAAAAGCGATCAACAGGAAAGACATATAAAATTGTTCACGATCATATACAAATTCATGAATAAACAAGCGGATGAATTTCATGCATCTATAATATTTCACCACATATATCCTTAACGAAAGATATCAGTAAATGCGTGTGGAATCGATACATAAATAGAATTAACGTGAAGAAATAACTTCAGAAAATTGGATGATAGAATGCGAATTCACTGAAATTTCACTGAAACTTGTCTATTGAATGTATCATAAATCAAAGAATATACGTGACTGTATTCAAACAGGAAAATTCAATACGGTTATTCGTAAATGAAACAATGAATACAAAGAGGAATGGGAGAATTTCCAAAAATATTTTCTTTCAATTAAACTGAAATTCTCAGCGTTAACTCCACAGATTTTCTTCCTTACGTCGCATTATAGGCGCTTTTTTCGTTCTTTTTCTCTCTATAATGTTTCTACATATGATCCATACCAGTATTTCGATCACTTTCTCTAATAATTAAATAAGCAAACAGAGCGTAATATTTGTACAAGAACGCAACGAAGTTTTAATTTCAAAATTGAAACGAAATATCGAATCTAAGGACATAATCAACGAATGAATCTCGAGCCGGGATATAATGATATCTTCAGAGTATATTCGTGATAGTGAGTGCGTTTTATGAATAAAACATACATATGAAAGGGGATTGAGATAATCCATTTTGAGCAGATCATTTGCGCAAATTTATCAAGCAAGAGAAAAATCCTGCGCATCCTATCAACTGGCAGAATCCATGTAGTCACATCTCTTCGTCTCGATCTGATACCCTTCGTCGTCTTACCGCATAAATATGAATTCTTTTAAATGGCCAGCAGAAATGCGAAATCTTCACACAGTGAAGTTACAAAATCAGTTCAGTCATGCTGCAACGTTCATGAGCTGTTTGCGGTACGGTTGGATCGGGTGTCTCGGATTAGTTGGGTCGTCGACTGTGGTGTGATCGTGATCGGCCACTGCTTTGGTCTCACTCATCGCTTTGCTTGTATGAACGACAACACTTCGTTCAACACGATCACTATTCCACTCGATCGGTGCATCCTTATTGATGTTTCGTTTTCGCATCGCTGACTCAAAGTTCCTTGCGATCATATCATAATCTGGACGATTCAAGTAATTCAACATTGACAGATAGTCGAATATATCGGCGAATTGCTTCGGACATCCCTGAACATCAACGTGAAATGATTGTATGATATGAATAATGGATTAGTCGAAATCTCGCGTGTAGAGATCAGTTTTAAGGATTGATCCATTGAAATCCCATCCTAATTCTCTTGGATTAACTCGTATAAATGTTTGCATTACCTCAAG